TTGTGAAGTGCTTTTCATGGTTTAACAAAACAAAATTGAGATGCATCTTCTAAGGATACATATATGGATATCATATTAACTTTAACATGTTTTCGGTTGGGATGATAAAACTTTGACCGGTTCTGGGATTTTCGAGTCTAAACTTAAATCTAATATTTTGCTTATGTTTTTCAATTTTTTTTTTTGAAAAAGAAAAGGATTATAAGATTTGAACCAATGCAGGTTAAGGGAAAAAATCTCAGAGACTTCATCGTTTGAACTTAGCAAACCTATAAATATATATTTTTAAAAGTGATTATATATTATTATGACCATGTTCAAACTTCTCCACTATTGATTCAGGATCCGTTAAACGTGAATCTCTCGCATAGAATTTTAGAATTATATCTCATTTAATCTATGTAAGTAACATTTTTTCTATATAATATTTTTTTTTTATTTAACCACATGATGATTTATATATTTTACCATCCGATTAATTTCCTAGGATCATTATAACCGTCATATAGCTCACTAACTGAATTTGTTAATGGGTCTAAAAAATGATACAATTTTAACTAGTCAAATAAAAATAGTTATATAATTTTACGCTTGAAGAAAATCTATCCCCACATATATGTACATATATGTGTACTTATATACGCATAGCACAAAATATACGATTAAGAAATTACTTTTGATTTTTTGCATATGTGTATGTAAGAAACCAAAATAATGAATACACATAAATCATTAATACATAACCGATTTTTTTTCTTTCAAATTTGCTCCTTGGGTAATCATGAGACTAGAGTCTTTGATAGCTATATATGTAGCAACTAGCAAGTCCACAAAACGTAACTAATCACTCCTCAAACTGTTACACTATACTTCTACGATAAGAAATTTAAAAAAAATACCATTTTTCAAGTGTCATTTTATAAAAATATCACATTTTTGAAATCTTTATAAAAATGCCACTTTTTCAAAATTATTTGTTTTTATATTATTTATGTTTGAGTTAATTATGTTCTATTAAGATTTAGTTTTGAGTATTTATGAGGTTTTAGGTATCAAAACAATT